CATTTGCACAAGAAGTTGATTATTTCGGACCATTGTAATGCAATGTGTGTATCCACCAGATGGTGCATTATAATCAAAGAGAGCTTCCCACATTCATAAAGATATTTAGTAGGAATTAATGTGAGATAAAAAGGCAGCTAAAAGAAAATTACAACACATATAAACAATCACACATAACGTGGGTTTGAGCAGCATTATTTCCAGGAAAAAATGAGAATTCCGACCGTTAGGCCGCCATTGTTGACTTCATTGTTTTACAGTGGGCCCCATATTTTCGAATGTAACGGTCCGAATTTGTTTCNATAGTTGACTTCATTGTTTTACAGTGGGCCCCATATTTGTGAATGTAACGGTCCGAATTTGTTTCAGCAGGCAGTATCTTCATCAAACATTCAGTCGTAACCTTATGCATTTGGACAGTCAGATTTTTTTGATTCAGATTGTTGTGCCGCAACGTAAGTTCAGAAAGCCACTTTACTGTCCAGTGAGCGATACATGAACCCACAAGATTAGGCTGAACCTTTTTTCTTTTGATTGATTCAATTACTTCAAATTAATGATCTATTCGAAGAAATGAAATATCTTCAAACCACCACCCATCTGATAAATTGTTGGTATCCATTTGATTTATGCTTTGAGACAAAACATTCAAATACAAGTCTCGAGCCCAGGAAGAGATGGATTCACAGCATTTGAAGATTCTAAATGTATCTTTCCATGATGAAACAATTATATAACTCAAAAAGTCCTCAGTTTTGGAAATCAGATTTCCTTGTTCAAGATTATAACTCATTTCCAAGAAATGAGTGGCACAATAAAGTGGAGCAACATTTGTTGCTGTAAGATTGGCCTTCCAACCATAACAGAACTTTAAAACTAACTCAAAACATTTTGATCCACCAGGGAGATTGTCGACCTGGAGACTAAGATTGCCATATCCACAATTCTGAAATACCATTCTGTTCAATGGTACTATATTAAAGGTGAAAAGGGTTGCTCAGGCAGCACAGAAAGAAAAAGCTGAGAAAAACCAACCTGCTGTACGATCATC